GGTTGTTTGAATGTACTGGAACAATTTTGAAGTTGAAAATCGCGATAATATTCTCAGGAGCAAGTTTGTTTCAAAGATAAAAAACGTGAAAAAAATTGCTTAAAGAGATTCACCAAAAAAAATCAAAAAAGGCCGACTTTGGATGGCAAAAAAAGGCCACAGACACGCCCTGCAACATACCATGGCGACAAATAGCACACCTTTTAATCAGCAGTTTTTTGTTTGACTGTCACTGATCAATTAGTAGGGAGTTGCTGCCCATACGAATGCAAAAGAAAACGCCCAAGAATCGCGCAAAAAATGACGGCACCGAAATTCAAAAATGGCGCGCACTTCCTGGTTGGGTTTGGGTTTACTGGTCCAAGAAGGCTTCTTTGCCTTCTCAACCCAATCATGATACACGCATGCCTAGAGGAGAGCCGGAACTTTTCATAATGTCCGGTCTTTACGTGTCCTTGGGGCTGAATTCTGGAGGGCGCCGTGGCCTTAAGCCATTTAGGGCGGAGGCCCGCCATCTGCGGGACCGAAAAGACAAAGCTTAGTCTTTGGGCACAAAGGTTTTCAAATGAAGTTTCGAGGATGTTTAGCCCCCCGAAAAACGTGTTCAAATGTTTAACAAAAGCAGAATTTTTTCTGTCTTCTGGTTCCAAGCGAGAAAGATGAATGTATAAAGATATATCGCATCATCCTAAAGGACAAGCTTGACAGAATTTCAGCTGGATCGCCGACATCTGACTTTGCACAGATTAGTCGTGCGGCGGAAGGCTAAGGTATTGTTCTTGGTCGCCGCAGATGGGCGTTGAAATAGTGGCTTAGCCACGCCCCCCAGAATCAGCGCCCCCAAGTGATACAACGTATGCCCGAAAATGCGAAAAACCTGGTTACACGTGTATCATGAATGAGACCCAAGCAAAGCTCTTGAACCCATAACCCCAAAACCACAGAAAGGTCGCCATTCCTGAGATTCCCTGCGGGTACTTTTGGCGAATTATTTTTACGTTGTATTTGAACGAAGTCCTCCAAGAGAAATTTTAAAATCGGATTCAATTTTCAAAAAATTGGTCATTACAGTTAAAAATAATGACTAATTGTAAAGTTTGTGCTATTTGGCATGTATGCGTTAAATGGGCGTGCTTTTGTTGGCGATCAAATACAGCCATGTTTTGATTTTGCTGTCATGGGTTTCGGCAATTTTTCGAACGTTGTAAGTTTGGAAAGAAAAACTGCCCTCTAACCGGGATATATCGGCATTTAATTTCAAAGTTGGTTCAGTACAATCCAAAAACAAATGTAGATGAAAAGTTGTGCATCTTGTTGTGGACTGTAAAAAACTCAAACTGCGTATCCGTCGGATGATGGGACGAAATTCCGCCAATTCACGCATTGAAACAGTAAATCAACCCCTGAACCCCAGTAATATAACTTCCAAGTGTAAGGATTCCCCAATCAAGCTGACTAAAACTACACAATATTTGTAGCCAGTCACGCCCCAAAACCACAATCCCTCCATAAACTTCAGTGTACATGGTCCGAATCGTCAATGAAACTTTTGACGTTTTGATAAAAGAGTCCCGCCCTGAACACCGTCCTACATCGACCAAGTTAAGTAGTAAGTAGTAAATTGTAAGTTTATAAAAGCAACATTTAAACACAGTATAAACTTGACCGAAGGAAGTGCTGTACAAGTGGAATAACCGTAAAGAGCGAAGTAATACAGAAATGCATTGGGTGGATAACGTGAAATAGTAGTCGAGGGAAAGAAACAACCATTTGGTGGATAACTAGAAAAGACAAAGTAGATAGCAGAAAAAACAGCAATGTTCTTGGATAGTAGTGATACAGTCGACCCCT